ACTGGGAGGCACTGGGAGGAAGCACTGGGGGGGGCACCCACCATGGCACAGCGCAGGCACTGCCTCCAGCGGCACTTCTGGCGCTTGAGGTTCTGCCCCCCGAATTTGGGCTTGTCCCGGCAGAAGTCGCAGCGGCCGCAGTCGGCCGGGCGCCGGCAGGCTGTGCACACCCCGCAGCGCCGGCTGGCCCGGCTCCGCGCCCCCCGCTGCCGGCAGAGAGCGGCGTCACCCCCGGCTCCCCGGCTGTCCCCGGGACCCGCCGCGGGGGCGTCCCCAGGGCCCGCCCGGTGGCCTGGTGTTAGTGTGGGAGCAGCTATTAGGAGCGTTGCGGTAGATGCGGCGGTATTAGGGGCATTACGGCAGCCAGGCAGCAGCAGTGGGTTAGCAGACATTCCGGTAGGAGCAGCTATTAGAGGCATTATGGTACTGAGCCCAGCTATTTGGGGCATTACGGTATCTGCACACTGCTATTGATACCTTGGTTCATGCCATTACAGCTGGAGCGGTTATTAGGAGGATTATGGTAACCAAACCCTGCTCTGAGGGGTTTTGGGGTACCCGAACCCCATTATTTGGGGCATTACGGTGCCCCAAGCCCACAGCTGGGGTTGCTCAGATGTCGCCATTAGCTATGTACAGTTTTTGAGGTGTCACAGTTACCCCAGCATTAAGGGTATTATGGCTCTGCCACACCAGTATCAGTGGGGTTCGAATGTGCTGAACCCCAATATTCAGCCTTGGAATGGCTCATAGGAACATTACGGTACCTGCACCCCATTATTGCAGAGCCTGAGCCTTGGTATTATTGTCTGGCACAGCCTTTAGGATAATTACGATATCTGCACCCCATTATTCTGGGTCCTGAACATCAGCATTAGGGGCTGGAACAGCCACTAGGATCATTACGGTACCTGCACCCCAATACTGCCCCCTTTTACAGGCCGCTATATTAACATCATTACGGCTTCCCCTGCCCCAATAGCTGCTCTGGGAGGGGCGTGGCCACTGCGGGTGGGCGGGGCTAAGGGACAGGGGGCGGGGCCAAGGCCTGTCACTCACCCCGCGGGGCCCAGGGGCCTTCGGGGGTCGCCCCAGCTTCTTCTTCTCCTTGCCCTTGGTCAGCGGCTTCTGGGAGGGAGGGGGGGTTTGCGGGGGGGGCTGGGGGTTCCAGGTGTGCCCAGGTGTGCCCAGGTGTGCCCCACTCACTCTGTGCCTGGCGCTGGAGGCGTCGCTGGGCTCCCGCTCCACCAGGGGCTTCCACTTCTGGGGGGAGAAATGGGGCTGAGGGGGGGCACCTTGGGGTGCCCCTTCCCCCAGAACAGCCGGGGGGGTCCGCGCTGTGACACCGCCCGGGGGTCCCGCACTCACCTCCGTCAGGGGCCGGGGGCTCTGCGGCTTCTTGGCCACCCTGGCTTTCTGGGGGGACACAGGGTGGGGGGTCAGCAGGGGACAACGGCGTGGGGGGACAGGGCAGGGTGACACCCCGAGAGCGGGGAGGTGCCGGGGATGGCAGGGTGACACCGAGGGGACAGTCCCACCTTGGGGCGCAGGCAGCGGCGCCGCAGGCAGCGCCACTGGCGCTTGAGGCCAGGCTGCAGGCGCCGCAGGCAGATGCAGCAGCTGCCGCAGTCCTCGGTGCTCAGGCAGCCGGAGCAGGAGCCGCAGCCCAGGCCCTGCGGGGACACCGGGGTTACCCGGGAGAGCAGGGAAAACA